ACTTGTGCTGGTTCCATCTGCCTCCAGTCCTCATAAATTATGTACTTATGCCCACTTTATTTTCACTCCAATATCCTTCTCATTATTCAATTTGTGTTTTTCGAGGGTGTTCCTCATCAAAAGTTTGTATGCATTTATTGCTCCTCTCTCCCATCGTAGTCGCGTTATCATACCTTCGAAACTTTCTTCGTTTTCACTGCTTTATCATTACAGAATGAAATGTAAATCGAACATTTCGATAGAGAACATCATTAATATATTTTAAATATTTAAATGTTAATTATAGTAATATTTTAATATTTAATAGGATTTTTATTGTGATTAGACTGACAAGATTTAAACAAAAAAACTGAACATTGTTTGGTGCTAAGGGCCTCATAACAACTTATTTTGACAGCGTTGTTAAATAAACTTAGGTACAAGTCGCGCGGTTAAATACCAATCTAGTGTATCTCGCGAAATATTTAAATTCCTGGAATATTTATAAAATTTCAGAAGGAAATTTATTATCTTTGCAATATTACAGGGAAGGTCACGCCCTTCTTAAAGCGAGATCTGAGATTAACTGTAGCAGTTAACAGGAAATATACGATTTATTACAGGAACGGCATGTGATCTTCAGTTGGACGATTGACAAAAATTAGCTCAATATAAATTCTGGAATACCAGGGTTCGGTTCCTAGCAGAGGCGTTGATACATCTCGTACTACTGCCACATCTGAAACGACTCGTTTTCAACTAATATTGAGGGTAACTTCCCCAGCAGTGAGGCCTTTAATTTTAATTATAGGGCGAGTTTGTGTATGACACCGCGGTTTTCCTTGTCTTCGATTTCACGGCTTTCTCTCGTTAGCACCAAGAACCAAGCGGTAGTGATCTTCCTCAGTGCATGTAAACAACCGCTCTACACTTTTATTTGAAAACACGTCTTAATTTCGTGCTACATCAAGTGTTCTTTCTTCTTTCCTGTCTTTGTTTATTCTTTCTTTATCTTACGCCCTCGTATTTGTGTCATGTAATTAAATTTTAAGGTCTGGTTAAGGTTTTTATGATCGCAAGGAATTCAGATATGCGGTGGGATGTCATGTGATGTGTGAGGTAACACAGGGACACGGTAGTAAGGACTGGTAAAGCGTGTGAGGAGTGTGGAGGAGACCGAGACTTGGAAAGGATACAAGAAATACAATACACAAGAGTGAAGGGGATCAAAGTATGTAAAGGACAAAGGAAAACAGGAAACAGAGATCTAGACAAGAAATTATTTATCGTTGAATTTCAGCAGGCTGTTTACATTATTATGGTTAAGACCAATTACATTTCCATTTATTTGTCTTTATCTTTAAGAACCTTTGACACCATTTTTCTCAAGTTTTTCTTTCATAGCCTGGGACGAAGGTCAAGTAAGATTCCCATTATATTACGAGTCGTTTGGAAGGGTCTATGAACAGTAAAGATAAGCAAAGAAACACCGCAATATATGTTTTCTAACTCGTTTTGAAGGTGCCATTCTTATGCCCACAAATGTTAACTATTGTATATGAATTCCAACTGTTTTATCCACGTTAATTAACTGAAGTGTGGCAGAATCCTCTAGTATATGAATTGGTGCCTTGTTTTGGTAAGACACACATGAATAATGAATGACTGCTTTTGTCAGTATTCAACCAAATAACATTCGGAGTAATAAAACAAGTAGTGGAAGCCGTTTCAACAAGGAGCCCTTCCAGAAAACAATTGGCATCTTGTTACGCCATCTCTCCATGTTGTGACGTCGAGATTGTTGGTGTTGCTATGAAACATGGTCTTGGTTATATATCTCATTTTTCAAGCTCTCACAGTGAAAGTTGCAACGATGCGATGGTTGGGTTTGACATGTTTCTGAGTTCGTCTGTCCGTATGCAATAAGGCTAGAACCTCTGAACGATGGTTGGGTTTGACATGTTTCTGAGTCCGTCTGTCCGTATGCAATAAGTCTAGAACCTCTGAATTGATTTTCATGAAATTTGATATTGGAGAACTTCACTAGTTAACACGAATGGAAAATCTGGAGAAGATAATAATCTCTGGAACGCGCCACAATTGTTACGCTCTGCATTTCCTAAATATTAGCTGTGGTGAGGTTACACTTCTTAGCCAAGTATTGGCTCACGTACGCTAAAACGTGTCGTATGATGCAGCGGTGAGTAAATCTCCCTTTGCAACAGCCTCAGTTGTCAGTAATTCATGCATTTTGCACTACTTTTTACGAGTATTCATGATGACTTGACTTGTACCGTGAGAAATATGTTTGACTTATTAATGCCACTTCAGTGCGCGAACAGAGCTAACCTTTTCGCACGTACAAGTTAAAAAGTTGGACAGAGCTCTGTGATGACTCTTGTATTAAAGCAAACACTGTTTGAGATGCGCTAACACAACTCTTCACAGAGGAACAAACAGCCAATTGTCTCCAAGCCAATAGGTAGTAGTTTCCGAGCATTTAGCATGTTTAGAATCTGTCTCGACATGCAATTGCGTGCGACAACATGGAATTAGCTGTTTGAAATTCTCTGTTGTTTATGTTTCGTCATAATAAGTGCTTCTAACACTGGATTTTTTCCGTAAGTAGAAACAAGATAGTAAATGCCAGTGCATTAATGCTTTCTTCATAATTGAAATCACGACACCACAAATAATTTGGACCAGAGTGTAAATAATTGCCTTAAAACGTTTGAACTAATTTCAAACAAACATCGTCATTAGAGCAGCCGTTAGGTTAGGTTAGGTTAGGCTATGCGAATGTATAGCCTAATGTTATGTATAAGTTTATGAGTTTTCTTGTCGTTAATTAATGACGCTGAATCAATTACTGAGATTATTTAATGTGGAATTAGCTGTGTGGATAAATATATCCGGGAAAATAGATTTAAGGAACCGGTATTGAAATATTTCAAGGAACTATTTCAGGACTTTTCTAGAGGAGCAAAATAAAGACCAGAAAAGAATAAATGAGGTAAGCCAGTGCCTCTTAGTTACATTCTTCACTGAAGAAAACTTCAAAATTTGTGGATTTATACCACGCGCGAGTAGCAAACAGGCTATCAAATCACTGTGTTTAAAATATGATGTAGCATACACTATATAAGAATGCGCGCACAGTGATTAACGCATCCAAAATAAGGGTACAGTAGTCGGGGCGAATGTAGGCCTTCGACTTCCGTTAAAAGTGCATACAGAGGGGATCGGGAGCAGGTAGAAAGTATATGTATACTATTCATTCTATTCATAATATTTTCCAGCGGCAGAACTTTATAAATCGCTGTGAGTTGTTATGTCAGCAATGTATTTGTATTATATTATATATTTTCTTTTCTTTCTACCCGGAAGCTAGTCAAGTAGGCGAATGCGCAGTTTGGATGGACTTTCTACCCGGAAGCTAGTCAAGTAGGAGAAACGCGCAGTTTGGATGGGCTTTTGTAACCTAAGAGATGTGACGTGAGAGAAATTAGCCGCGTAAGGAATCGATGACTCCCAAACGAATCAATTACCATCTTCCTTTTTCTTCTAGATAACCTTCTCCATGGATTAGTGTCTTTCTTGAGGAATTGATAACCTCCCAGCTAATCAAGAAGATAATCACCTTTTTTTGTAACCCGGTAGCTCAGCACCGCGTTTACCAGAACCATCACAAGTTTCTATGCAGTCTGATGACTTCATCTCGCAACATCCCACATAATTTCTTGATCATTTATTTCTCTGATCTCTCCTGTTACTTCCTATCTTTTAGAACCAAATATTTTCCTTATCACTGTGTTTTCAGTTACTCTAAGTTTCCTTGGAATAAGCAAGAACATTTTTCATCCATATAGAATAACAAGTAAAGTTGCAGAACTCTGTATTTTATAATTTAGGTTTTCAGTGGGAGACATGGAGGCAAAAAATTAGCAAACAATATTTTCAATGATACAGCATCATTTATGAGTTGACTAACTTTAAATTTTGCCGGTCATGTCCATAGATACAAATTTATTCGAATTTATCTCCTGACTGTGTCCGGATACACATAAACGAATTTTGCAATATAGTAACAAGATATTTTTAGCACAAAAGAAACGTGCAACTTCTGGAGCTTGCAATTTCTTGTCAAGTCAGAATATCGTCTCCAGGTGAACGTCCGCAGACACAAATCAGACAGCAGTTCCTTCGCCTTGCCACAGCAACTTGTTCCACTCTTTCTCGCTGCTGCTCTGTTGCTTGTTCTCGCGTGATAATTTGCAGTGGCCTCTGAACATTGCCATGCCAGAGTGTCTGTAGTGTAACGCTGAATGAATATTTCTCCTTGCATATTTTTACTGTCTGCGTTCTTTTGTGTCCTGTAATAAATAACCTTGCTCCCTTTCTACAGTCTAATTTTTCTTACTTCAATTATTGTTGTTGTTGTTGTATAATAATTATAGCTCAGTTGCGTATGGAGTCCACACATATGCACGGCTACATTCGATTTACATTTTGAAGTTTTCACAACTTCTGAATGTAATTAGATTTTTTGGGCAATCAGCCTTCAAAGCAGTTCCTGTTGATAGAGACTGTCTGCGAAACGGATATCAATTCTTTACTGTCGCGGATGTTCCCACAGGAAGACGTCATTGCATATATTTATGGATAATAAGGAAAATAATTAACCCTCTGTCGAGTAGTTCGAAGTTTTATGTTTAAAAAAGTGTTACCAATATAAAGAAATAAATTGCATAATTTGTGTAGTTATTTTACGAATTGTTCTTTCACACTAGTGTGACTTCGTGGTAAGACTATGTACTGTAAATTAAATACCATAAAATTCTGCTATAACATTTTATTAATACCTGTTTAATACCACGAATTTTGACTTAGTAATATATTTCCATCTTTATGCATTATTTTAGCTGGTACGATAAACCCATTCGCGACTGTAAGATCATATGTCAGAAATGCCTTTACTGAAACAATGGGTCAGTTTTCTTTATAAAAATGTTTATGTTCAGGATGGATTAAAACGTCGGTAAACTACCGGGCTGCACGACACAAAAACCCAGAAGACAGCCATTTTCGTACTCGCCGTGAAAACCTCAAATCTCATAAGAGCTTCTGAGATCAAGACATGCAAGTACAAGGGAAGTTCCGTTTTTCACAGACTTTCTCAGCGAATTTGAAAATACATGTAGTCCACTGCTACGTGTAGCTCTCTAATAACCACATGGGACTCATGCGTCATGCAATAATAGCAATAAAAAGGAAGGATAGCCTTGTCGTAAAATTATTAACACCATCAGCGAATGAGCATCCAGCATGTGCTTTGTTGCATTTTAATTGAGTGCCCGCTGTTTCCGTGCGTTCTTCGCAAGTCACGCAAACCGGTGATTTCCAAGCGGCGTCTTCATTAGTCAGTGATGAGCTTGTTGCATCACTTTGCCTTGTCTTCTAGACAACCAGTTTAATAAAAGTATGTTCAGTTTCCTAACTGATAAGCTACATATAACATCCTCGTTATGAGCTCATTTTATGCACATATTGAAAATAGCACACACGAGTTAATGTAATACAGTCCATTCTTTTTACCAATTGCTCTCTTCCTGTCAAGTGAAGTTTATAGTCGATCCGGGGGGGGGGGTCCCCCTCCTGATTGGCATAATTCATACACCGATTTATTCCCATTTTTGTTTCGTTACTAGTCAATGTAGATTCTAATACTGTTTAAGGCATAAAGCTCCTTAATTATTATTTACAAGTCTTACTCTGTTGTGGTGCCCAGTAATAAATAATAGACGTGTGACGTCAGGACCTTTCCTTTTTAGAATTTTTATAAAATAAGTAAAAAAATAATTACGTTTGTGTTTCTTGCAGTGCACCAACATTCATACGAAGGTCATTTAATGAACCAGTTTAGCCTATGATATAAGAAACACGAAGATTTTTGTTTCATACCAATTTATTTTTTAAAAAATGTAGTAAACAACGGATTCCTCAGCTAATCCTACGTAAAATTTAAAGCATCAACACATTTTATACAGAGAGATTACACAAAAATATCGTGATCGAGTGATTGGCACACTTTCTTTGAATTTAGGATACCTCGGGTTCGTATCTCTGTCCAGAAAAAGGCTCTCCCTTTCTAGATTCCAACATTGTTGTACTTAGTAAGAATTTTTATCCTTTGTTTCATTCACTCAAGCAAGTGCTAGAACAGTGCCGTAAATAGGCCAAAATTGCTTCATTACACTTTTAAATATACTGTTCTCAGTCATGCTATCACTCGATTCTACAATAGTAACTCATGCAGCGGGAAAAGCGTCGTTAAATAACATAACTAAAGAATAAAAGTCTCATGCAAATTACCCATAAAAGTAGCAAACATTAGGCCTCATCCATTCGAAATTTAAATCTTATTATTCTGTTTTTCTGCAGACGAGCAATAGCAAAGCCTCTCTGTTTTCTGAACTCCGTCATTAGTACTGAAGTTTGTTTGACTGCCGTTGGGGGCTCTGTACTCTTAAACAAGAGGCTTCCAACTTTTTGCCCACATAACCCTGAACACATCTTACACAACCCAACAGATCAACAGAAGCAAAATTACAGGCAATCAGATAGCTTTTGGCTATCATGGAAATTGTCTACTTAATTAAAGGTACTTATGTTTTATCCGCCAAAACACAACACTTACGAAATACACAGGTATTATATTTATATATTCTAAGAGTGTTATGTTTGTGGGATAGAACTGAAATAACTCACTGAGTAGCAAGGCGATATACAACAAATTAAATCCATAATCAGAGGTCCGAATATGTGTCTATTTAAAATGTTCGCAAACATTTTTAGGCAAAATGTTTCAATTGATTCAATGGATCTGTCGATATAATTCCATTTCGTGGCTCGAGACTTCAAGGTGTTGGTAAATTGTAGTTAACGAGATTAATTTTCTTATAACTTCACGCGTATTTAATTGAAAGGCGATAAAATAAACTTTACTCCGTGTTTAAGTAGGCCAAATTATCCAGTAGAAGTTCTCCGACGTTTCAGAGGTCCTTGTTGCCTCCATCATCAGGCAGCAAGAACCTCTGAAACGTTGATAAGCTTCTACCAGACTACACGGCGCAACAACCCAGTAGACAGCCATCTGTAGACTTACCTCCGTAGAAACCTCAAATCCTATATTTTTTTGAGTTGTTTAAATAGCCTATTAGATCAGACTACATTCAATTCTCCATACGAATCGACTGTACTCTGTGCTGAGAATTGTCAACTCCTCCCCATACGCTTACCCGTCCCACTTTCTCTTTAACCCTATTTTGGCTACGCTCCATTTCAAATGAAATCAAGCATTCCGTTCCATTTGATTCCACATGTACCGGGGGGAGGGGGGACCAGCATGTCTAAACACATGCAAATATTGGGCTGGGATTGATATGTGTCATCCACCACAGCAAGTTAACCAGTGTAAACTAGCTTCGGTACAGTCCAATCATAACAACGCAAAATAGAGTGTAGGAACAGAAGGATGTTACACAGATAAGCCGACAATTAGAAGTTCTAATCCTTTAGATGCACCAGAGCCTTCTGTCGCTAGTACCTAGTAAAAATCAATGCCGCCCTCCATCAATTAATAATTCTTTTACGTGCAATAAACTAAAAAATTGTCTTTGAGCCGAGTATGAAAATGAAATAGAATTTGAGGCTTTCGCGGCGAGTACAATCAATAAAATCATCTCGGGTAATCAGCAGCGTTAGCTGGTTACTGTAGTAAACCGACGTTTCGGGAACAAACTCTGTCCCCATCTTCAGGGTTCTGATGTGACTGGATCAGTCACATCAGAACCCTGAAGAAGGGGATAGAGTTTGTTGTCGAAACGTCGGTTTACTACGTTAACCAGCTAACGCGGCTGATTACCCGAGAAGATTTTACTGATGAAGATGACCAGTTACTTTGTCGTCACATCATAAATAGCTATGGAAACACTTCAGCTGAGTCTGTAACTTTGAACGTTTACCCTCTGTTTAGTTCCTCCTCTCCCATTCTTCTTCTTTTTAATTCTTCCACAGTAAATAATGCCAATGGGATCTGAAGCTAGATCCCCCCATTTAACTCACCACAATCCCCAGCCTTTATTGGCAACTGAGCACGATTAAAAAAGCCGCTTGTTAAATCCAATTCTTTACACCGCGTCCTTATCCTAACCTCCCTCGTTGCCACCTCAAGTGATAAAACATTGCATTTCTGCCCCCTTCATCGAGCCTAGTGGAGTAAGCGACACCCCAACCCCTACATTTCCACTTTAATCTGTAGTTTCTGGTCGGTTAGCCCTGCTTGGCTTCCCACTCGTGCGAAAAGAATTTCCCGTCCACGAGCACGACCGCCATATTGGATTGTACTTGTCTTTCCGCTTTCATGTCGTCTTCACCCACCTCTCGTCATCTCTCTCAGGACTTTTTCATCCATGTTGAAAATGCTGTTGCCTATCTCCCGCCTGTCTCGCTCCTCCACTGGTCTTGATGTGCTTTAGACGTTTTTCCGTTCTTGTTTTATGACGAAGTTTAGATTCCAAACACATAAGATTTATTTTTAATTGTTTCATATTCTTGGGCCTTAATGAATACAATATTTTTGAATGAAAATATTCATGTAGTGAAATGTCCATGGTTTAAATTATAAAATTGCGATTCGAAAGCTGGATTCTGCTTCGTCACCAGATTAAAGACTTTTTGTCCTGTTACCTGAAGGTTGAACCAGACTCCAGCTTTTAAAATATTGTACGTTTATTATCGTATAATTCAGACGATGGGTAAAGCCTAAGAAAATAATTTTACACATCATAATGCACCATAGTTTGAAACATTCAAACTTTGATTTAAAAAATGTTTATGGAAACCTAATTTTGACCATAATTTGTGGTTAATTCCTTCATTGGTCATATAACTAAATTCGCTACATTGTTTACTGTTATAATAAGAAAATATTTAGCCAATCACTGACCGCAACTCTAAACTAAATTTGGAATTAAATCGATTATTAAATAGGCCCGTGTCTAGATAGACGTCAGTTAACAGTGACTAAGTAATTCCGTGGGGGCAGAATCCGTTCTCGGGAATCTAATAATTGCCCAGAAAGTCAAGAAATTACCCACCTTTTATTTAACCCATAGGTTCATTACCGTGTTCACACCAGTTCGCCACTTGATCTCATCTTGAGCAACATCAATCCGGTCCCCTGTTATTTCAGACCCGTTTATTATTACCCTGTTATATACACTTCGGTCTTATAAGTTGTGTTTTATCAATCCGGTCCCCTGTTATTTCAGACCAGTTTATTATTACCCTGTTATATACACCTCGGTCTTACAAGTTGTTTTTTCCATCAGGTTCTACGACAGTAATTTTACAAGGAACTAAAGTGTGAATTGGATTAATCTGGCTTAGAACAGGGAACACTTGCGGGCTCTTGTGAATATAATAAAAAACTCTCGAATTACACGAATTACTTAACTGGCTTTAATATTTGTTTTCATCTTTCCAAAATTGACAATCTTTAATAAGTTATGTTAATAAAATATAAAATAGCAGTGTGGTGTGGGAACAGTGTCTGCATATTTTTGTTTGATGTTTGCTAATAAATGAATCTTAACTTGAGTGTTTGTATTTTGTACAGTAAATTATTTTAATAATCCCAGCCAATAGACTTGCTAGGAGTAATGACCAAGTCTCAGTACGGTACGCCTAAATGGAGTGCTTGCCTAATGCTTGTTTATAGGGTAAAAGCTAACAGTGAAGTTTAATTGCATCTATAATATCAAGTGAACAAGATAATCACTAAATGGTCATAGAACGAAATATGAATAAGTATATTAGCGTCGGGTTACGGTGTAATAGGATGTGAGGTTATAACTATAGCGTAATCAGCTTTATCTTACGAAACAAAGTAGTATCTGACTGCGATGAGAAATCCGCCGAGTTGCAGCGGACTGTAGAACCATCTCTGTTCGGAATCGCCTTGTCTGAACTGGAACGACGTATCTAGGATTAAGAGATACGTTAGCTTCTTCCAAAACCAGAGTCACATCTATGGAAATTTTCAGTATTAGCATAGAAATGGAGGTATACCTGCTAGCTTGAAGAACGA